TCTCAGGATTTATAATAATAACAAGTATATTCTGTCTGTCTGGAGCACTCTGATTGGTTGTTTCAGTAAGCATTGTGATTGTGTAATTGTGATTGTGCAGTTGTCTCAGTAAGCATTGTGATTCAGTAAGCATCAGCTCCCGAGACAACCAATCAAAGTACTCTGGACAGACAGAATAAGCCTATTATTATTATAGATGCTTCAAATGTATAATTGGTTATCAGGTACACAAGGTTATTTGGGTAAATCCGGTATCTTTTATTAAACCAACTAAAACAGTTGGACAAATTCTTCTTTGCAAGCTTTCGGGGACAAATACCCTTCTTCAGGCTGAGGAAGCATCTCTATTTGGTTATCATTAATACTTTAAATTATACAAACCTTCAGTGTAGTTTTATCATATTTCTACCAGTAAACCTTTTTTTTTCCATAAGTAAACATGGCACCAGATTTTCAGCTGTTGAAGTCAGTATAGCAACACTGATTTTATTGAATCTGCTTCACGGTCATTAGTTAACACATATCCTGGTGTTGTGCTGTCACTGAAGAGACAGAACTCTGATCAGTGTGCCAAAGAGCATCTATTATAGATAAAGTATCTCCAATATAAACTAAAAATGTTTAAAAAAGAATTGTATTTGGTATAAATGGGGCAGTGGTGATAAGCCTGCTTCTAGAAAGCGTTGGATGTATATTTGGACAACAAGAACATCCTGAGCCATAACAGGAAGGATGAAAAAAAATGACAAAACCACAATTTTAGGAAGAATTGTAACTCTTCCTGCTTCAGGATATAAGCCAACCTCTAAGTCAGAATTTTTTCCTTGGGTGTAGTTAACCATAGTGATATACCTACCAGTGGCTTCACTGGTGCATGTCCAGATTTGGTGATAAAAGTGCAAGTGAGAGTGAGTATGTGGAATATCTTCAGGACCATCCCTGCTTGGACATACTTAGGACACAATATGAATTCTTACTGTATCTGTCCATTAAAAACACATTGACATTCCTAGACTTTGGATCAGGCCCTTAATTCTCACCATTTGCCATGCCAAGGATGCTAGACTGTGCAGAATGTTGCCTCTCAGTTGGGCTGTGTGAAGCTTCAGTCCCTGATTCGATTTGGCAGAGATTCAGCCTGATTCAGTGGCCAAATCTCCGAATCCAAATTGAATCAGAGGACCCTTTAATCTCTCCAAATCAGTTTGGAGAAATTCAGACAGGTTTGGCAATTGGGATGTAGATACAGCTTTAAATGTTTTTTCTACATACCTCTAGGTAGCAGGGGCTCTGAATGCTGCAGTGCTGGGGCAGATGCAGCATCCCACAGAATCATGGGGGGCTCTCCAGCATGGTCAGCAGAAGACCTGGAAGTGGACTAGAAGCACTTCTGGCCCACTTCCTGGTCCACCGGGGAGCGCACAGGCCCCCCCCCCCTCGGCTCAGCAACTGGTGCCTCCTGGGTCTGGGGGGGCACCCAGGGTCCCCCTGCAGCCGAGCACTGAGCCAAGAGGGCATGGGGGGTGGGGGGCCAGCGCACTCCCCAGCAGACCCAGAAGTAGACCATAAGTATTTCCGGTCCACTTCTAGATTCGCTGGCAAGCATGCTTGGGAGCCTCCCGTGCTCCTGTGGGATACTCCATGCGCCCCAGCACCGTAGCAACCATGAGCCATGCCTGCTACCTTAAGGTATGTAGAAAAAAACTTAAATCTGTGCCTGTGTCTGAATCACTGATTTGCCGAATCAGCATCAAATCTTCAGATTCCACCAAATCGAATCAGGGACAGTGATACGAATCAATGGATTGAATCACTGCCCCTGATTCAAGCCAAATCTGAATCCAAATCAAATAGGGGTTGTTTCACACAGCCCTATTGGCTAATTAGTGCTACACAGATGCTTCATGAGGACATGCTGGGCAAACCTAGGAGAGGCGCACACCTGGTACTATAGATTTCATAGATTTCATAGACATTCAGGCTGGAAGGGACCGTGGAAGATCATCGAGTCCAGCCCCCCACGCAAAGGGCAGGAAGTCAGCTGGGGTCATAGGATGTCCCAGCAGCAAGAAATATATCACAATACCATGAAGCCACATAGAAATGTGGTAAAAATCTGAGCTACTATTACAAAAATGGAAACCAATTAAACTTGCCTCTCCCCAGGGAAAAAGTGTGAAGAGATCTTGGTTGACCTAAATTTTGTCAATTAATGATTTTATATGCCCTTTTTCTCTTCTTTTTGTTCCAGAAAAAGTAAGCATATTGTCAACCTTCATCGCACCCTTCAAGTATTTAAGTCCTGGTGCAAGCAATATGGAAGACGAAGACAACTTAAGTAAGCAGCCTCTTTTCTTCACAATTAGTAACCTGTGCACTGAGGGTAATTCTAGGAGCAAGGTAATTTGGGAAACACCTCTATCAGCTTAATCTTTTAGGCCACTGCACCATAGGTGACACATATAGGGGGCACGGGGTGGGGGGACACGTGCCCCCACTGACAGGGCCACTGCCACCACCACCAGCAGCACCTCTGCAGGTGCTCGCCAGCTCTGCCCCCATCGCTGACACTGCCAGCAGCGCCTGCGGGAGTTTGCCAGTTCCAGCCCTGCCGCTGACACCAGGAGGTACCAGTGGGGGACTCAGGAAGCACCAGTCACCCATGCACTGCACAATTGTTAGTGCACAGAACTACAGAAAGTACAGCACATTCACAGTTCCAGTGAGCAAAGGGTTAACCTAAGTTTAACAGGCACTTGGAGGGTGCCTGTAAACTGGGTGCTGTGAAGCCCAGGGAAATCATTCCCATAAGAAGGCTGTGTTCAATACTAGGGTCAGGAGACAGAAAAGTGTCTTTGTCTTCTTTTGTGCTTTAGTTAACTTATTTTGCTTCCTCTCTATCTGCTTGATCTTCAAAGGATAAACCAGGTTGACTGCCTTTTTTCTGCCCTCAACCCCATTTTACATTCCCATCATTTCCCAATGGGAGGATTGCTGGGGTGCAGATGGACTGCTGTTTGAAGCACTGTCCTCTCCTTTTCCCTTGGCTAATACTATCTGCAGAAGAAAACAATCCACATCAAATTGAACAGAGATGTAGTTAAGATGTTGGTAACAGGATTCTTAAATGGTAATTCTGACATGGACCATACTGATGACTGTTTAGCTGGAAGAATGTCAGGAGCTGCTATGTTTGAAGGATAAATGTGATCATTAAAATGTCAGTAAGACCAGGCAAAATAGCATGCGGTTAGAATGGAATAGCCTTCACCCATGCTTTGCATTTGACACCAGACAGTGATTTCTGCATGGCATCCAGCTTTCTGGTTGTGACTTATTTTGAGGCATTTAAGACAGAGAGGAAAGCTTTCCAAACCAAGTGAACACCTCTTGCGTTTTAGTATCACCTACCAGATGTGTTCCTTTCCCAGCCAGAAACAATGGAGACTTCTTCTCTTATAACCAGTAGGTGGAGAAAATGGATCATTTTCCCTGGTGTTGCTAATATGCCTTGATTTCAACAGGAGATGGCACTGATGGGGATAGTTATTGAAAGAATGTAGCATTTTATTTCACATTGCTGGTATCACAGCATTTATAGTATGTGCTGCACTATTGCTAGTGCCTTGACTGACAGGTTTTTCATACACTAATGAATGCCAAAAAGCCTTGAAAAGCCTTTAACTGCTGGTCCCAGGGATACTACATTTTCACAAAGCTATGAGAAGTGCACATAGAAAACATAGTATGCACATAATGAGTTTGTGCAGGCACCTCCTGTATAATGTTTCCCAAGTGTGTCGCTTTGTTATTTTTAGGTAAATGTAGTACAGTTGTACATACTAGACGTTAAATCACTGTTTTCTTATTGCTGCAGCAGTGCCTTGGTGTCTTATGTTTTCACTGGCTGTAAAAAAAAATAGTATAGCCAATGTAGGTGTGTTTTCTGAAAGAGAAACACCAAATTTTACTGTTTTTGAGGTATTGCACATCAGCCCTCCACTGATTCAGCTATGCTACAGTGTCAATAACAATTACGTTAGCATTAATTACTTTTTTTATTTGCTGCTAGTAAAAAAGGTCACCTACACCCCATGAAAAAAGGCATAAAAATGATGTAGGCCCAGATCCCCAGAGCTATTTAGGCACCTGACTTGTGTAAGAGCCTAACTCCCATTCATTTCAGTGTATCTCAGTATAAACCTTGACTTATGCATTACCCTGCTTAACTTCTGAGCACGTGCCTTGGCAGAGAAATTCACAATGACCCTGCTAGGCACCTAGAAGGCCTAAAGAGTCAATGGAGAGTCTCTGAAGAGCCCGATGTGTGATTTATATTTAGGTGTTTCAGGGCTGTGTACAATGACAATAATTCAGCAACCCCAGCGGCTTTCTGGGCCTCCAAAAGCAAATTCAGAAAGCCCAGAGGCACTGAAAGTCATCCAATAGGAAACACTAAGGACATGTCTGAACTCCCACACTTCTCAAGAGCTTAGGCACCTGACTCAGGCTGTCCATTAAGGCCTTACCATTCATTTACTGGAAACAGAATCCATCACCCTCCTGTCCTATAACCAGCAGGCCACAGAGGTGGGCTCATTCATGCATTTTCTATTAGGAAATCATTAGCTAAAAAACAAAACTAAGCCTGTCAACAGATACAGGAACACAGACATGCCCCCTCCCATGGGACTGCAGCAGCCACTGGACTCCCCCGCCCCGTTTGCTTGATCTCCTGGCCCCATGAGTTGCCCTCATTTCTGTACCATGCCTTCAACAGGAAGAATGGAGAGGTCCCTCACATAGCCTATTTAATAGAGTGGTAGATAGCGCACTCACTTGAGAAGTGGGAAATGTGAGTAAGGGTGAGTGGTGGGAGAATATTCCAACCCCTCAGTTATTGGGCAGATAACCAGGACCATCCCAAATGAGCAGCAGTGTCTCCCACGAACATTTGAATCATAACAGAAATTAGGCAGGAATTAGGTGCAATGGAGAACTTAGATGCTCCTGCTGAATTGTTTCTGCACATGCCCAAAAGCCCTGGACTAGATACCTAGGGAACTAAAGCCATTTTGAGTCACTCTTTGGAATTTAAGTGGTTAATTCCACATAAGTGCTACTTACACGCCTAGGGAGTTGGTTTGAATCCCATCCTAACGGCCTGAATTTGTCTGAAGATTTGAACCTCAGTGACTGATAGGAAGTTGTGGGTTGTGACAGTGCTTTCCCTAAATGGCCAGGGGGGATGCATTAGAGATAAAGAAATCTCATAAGGTTCATATATAGACACGTGTTTTTTTGGTTCAGGACCTGAGATAACCTAGTGGCCAGAAAAATATCTTCAAGCCAATTTCAAAAACCATCTTGAGTGGACTGAGAGCCAATCCCCAAGGAAGAGCTCATCCTAAACTTTAAATAAAAATTGCTATTCCCAACAGTAAGAGTGTTCCTACCATATACAGTAACATATGGAGATACAGAGTCTGTGACTTTACCTCTAGGAAAGGGACAGTCACTAATCACTTAATCAGCATTACATTTTTGCAATGGAATAGGAACTGTCTTATTGGATTTTAATCAAAAGGATGCCCTTGACAGCACCAGCAACAAGATATGATTCTATAAGGACCTGTTAGACTGTCATATGCATACTTTTTGATGATAGTAGAGGTGCTAAGATTCTGATCAAGAAAAACACTGTAGCACACATATACCTATGAATGCCGCAGCCAAGAGGTCTCTCTATTTTTAGTTGCCCAACTTGACATTCCACAATGGGGACTGGTTTTAAAAATACACTGAACCCCCAGCCTTTAATTATCAGGGACAAATTCAATTTAATAATTTAGGGCATCTCAAGCTTCCAGATATGGAGGAACTAACATCATTTGCCCCCTTTGAAAACAGCACTTCTCGTGCTCAAAGCTAAATTTGTATGCAGGTCCCAACTCAGAAAGCACTTAAGCATGTACGGGAATCCCACCGTACTCAAGATAGACCTTAGGTACATATTTAATTTATGAATGTGCTTAAGTGCTAGCCTAACATGCCTGCTTCCCTGAATCAGAGCCCAAGTACTGTGCTGATCGGAGCCTAAGCTAATATAAATAAATTCCATAATTGGAATTGGAACTACACTAGCAATACATGCATTTTGTACTTATTACAGACACTGTAGGACTCAGCTATAGTTTATGCTTTGTTTGGCAATGGCAAAGGTAACAATAGTCCCCTTTCCCAATCCCTTTCACAAATTAGCAGCTTTCAGTTAAGGAAAAAGCAGGTTCAGCTGAATAGAGAAAATAATAAACATTTTAGGAATTTTTTTTACCCGTAGATGCAGCCATTCTGTAGTGTATTATTCCAATAATAATAATAATAATCTTTTGCATGAATTATAGCAATATGTCTTCAAACTATCTAAGCCTTGCCAGTTAACCAGAAGGATTTCATTATCAGGGGAGTAAGATTGTTTTCTCTTAAGCATAATCGGGTCATTTTTTATATTGACATTTCAATGTGGGTGAGGGCTATACCTATTAGTATTTTTTTAACACCTTAGTGGGGGAAAAAATGGAGCCCCAAGGGGGGGAAAATCTCAGTTCCTTATTATAGGTTTATGAAAATGTTGACTAACTGACTGAGAAGTTTGTTCTACATGACTGTTGTTATCATATCTGACTCTAGACACAGGTCCCCTGAGTTTGACACCTCCCCACACCCTTTCCTAGGGCATGCCTATTGCTTTTGGCGTGAAATTTCTCTTTTCCAAGTACATCAGAAATGATGGAAGTGAATTATTTTAACCTCTGTGGTCATTACAGTGCAGATGGACAGCATGTAACAGTCTGCATGAGGAGGTCAAACAGAGGCCAGATATTAAAATTCAGGTAGCAGAAAATTAAAAGGAAAGCCAATCTTCGCTGTTGAAATGCATTGGTATAACAATCTTACATTCCCTAAATATTTCTAAAGACAATATTGCCTTGTAGCCCTCTCATATGCTTATGCCTTGTTCCTTTATCATCAGGAATTTGATAGAATACATATGCTGTGAAGACCATTTTCAGCCCTATTGATTTGTTGTGATTTGTTTTTAACAATGTTTGGTAAAATGAAGATACCACCCACTTTATCCCCCAGAAAGTTTAGACTGCTTGGCAGCAGAATAACCTTCAACAGGAACAATATTATCTCTTCAAATGTAGCGTGGAGTATCGGATGGCTAGTTCTTCAGAGCCCTTATGACCCAGAGACATAGGCAGTGTCATTATTAGTGATGCATTATAGTTCTGAAAAGCTCTTGATGATGCAGACTCTCCAGGTTAACTCTAC